GATACGAACAAATATATAAACTACGAGGAAAATGTTCAATTCATTAAATGCCTATAACTTTAAATGATATAATTTACAAATAATTATTATAGTAATTATAAATCCAAATGATTATTATAAATCACTAAATTAAGAAAGATATGTCTAGAAGCTTATTATTGATAATAATATTAATTATAATATTATTTTAATAAAAATAATATATTTATTGTAATATATCCTAAAACAAATAAGAATTCAAATCAATGATAATCAAATATGTTAATAATTTTTTTTTAAAAAAAAAAGTGGAAGAACATGAAGAGTAAGGCTTCGTTTAGGATGAGTTTCTTACTGTTTCTTAAAGTAGCTTTCTAATAAAAAATTAAACTTTTTGTACTAAAAAATTATTTAAGAAACAATAAGAAAGATGTTCACCTAAGACATTTTAGTCTTGATGTTTTCATGAAAGAGAAATATAGCTCAATAACTATTTGTGGATAGCTTTACCATCCTTAAATATTTGTGTGAGGCTGATGATTGAGGTGGATGCTAAACTCTTACTTCATATTATTAAGGATGGTAACGCTGGTAATCCTCATGATTTTTACACCATTCGTAAGATTAGAATGTATCTGTCGAATCTTATTTTCTCTATCTCTCATATTTATCGTGAAGGTAATGCGTGTGCGGATTGGTTAGCCAAGCATGGTTCTCATAGTGATATGTATCAAGAATTTAATGTGAATAATCTTCCTCTATTCCTGAAAGGTCTCATTAATCTGGACAAAACTGCTCTTCCTTACCTGCGGCATGCTTGATTTCTTTTTTGATTGTTTTTTGGGGGTTTTGATGAGGTTTCCTGTGCTGTTCGCTTTTCCTGATCTCTGTTTCTATTTGGATCTTTACTGTTTTGGTGTTGTGGATCGTATGGGTTATTCCGTTGGGTATTTTTTTGGTTTGGAGGTTGTTGACTATGGGTTTCTGGCTGGGGTTGCTGTGGATGCCTCCTGGACTGCGTGGCATGCTGGCAGTTGGGTTTTGGATAGGGTGTTGCAAGTTTGGTTGAATTTGGGTTAGCTGTCTATTTATCGCTATAGTTTGTTCTGTTGTTCTGGCATTTTTCGTTTTTCTGACATTATGCTGAAGGTGTTTTTGGATGGGGTCAGGTCTTTATGTTTGGCTGGTTTGGTCTTGCTGCGGCAGGAGTTGTGGTTAGTGACTCGTTTTGCTTTGGATTTTTGTGTGCTGGAAGGGACTTTTCTTTCTCGTACTCAACCATGTTTTGTCAATGTTTCTGATCCTACCATTAAATGTTTGTTTGGGTTTGATATGGAAAATATTATGGTTGCTTTGAGGGATTGCCTGGAGATCGTTATGGCTGGCAGGGATTTTACTTATATTTTTGCAACCATTAGGAAATTTTTTCCTGTTTTTATTATTAGGCTTGCTGACTGGAACTACATCTTTGGTTATATTTGTCTGGTTACTATCTATTTGTCTAATTGGCTTTTTTTTAGATTCCCTTGCAGGATTACTTCACGGAGCTTCATTGACTACAAGGATTTTTGGGTTAGTTTTTCTCTTTTTGCCTTCCATTTTCTACACTTTTTTTGCAGGAAGAATGAGCTGCCCTGGACCAATCTGCTCTTCCTTTTTTAGGTGCTGCCTACTTGCAGCCCGAGTATTACTTTATCTTCACGAGCTTCATTGACTACAAGGATTTTTGGGTTAGTTTTTCTCTTTTTGCCTTCCATTTTGTACACTTTTTTTGCAGGAAGAATGAGCTGCCCTGGACCAATCTGCTCTTCCTTTTTTGGGTGCTGCCTACTTGTTGCTCGAGTATTACTTTATATTTATTTTGTAATCTTAGAAAGAGAAACCACCGGCTCTTAGGTTTTATTTTCCATTTTCTTATAGCACTTTTGAGCAGTAGCGAGCTGAAGGATCCTTCTAAGGATTTTGTAACCGATTTTTTTAAATTAACGTGTAGGCCCCTCTGCGAGTTTTAACTAAAATATATATAGATATATATGGATGGTAGGAGATAAAACTTCATTTGAAGTATTTTATTAGTTGGTATCTTCCCTCAAATGATAGAACTTTTTCCTTCCAAGTTCCAGCCATCAAGCACTTAGACAATGTTACGAAGTGGCAGTTGATGTCTGCCATTATCGATCTTATAGTAGATCTTTTACACAGAGCAACGACACGTCAGAATGCACCAAAGATGTACTGGCAACAATAAGCTCTTTCAATTTTTTATAAATTTAATTGGCTTTCACCCAAAATAAATTTTCTATTAAAGTGAGCAATAATTTAAGAAAAATATATATTAACCTTTTGAGCGAAGAATTTTAACAGCAACTTAAGCTAAATTATGACTTAGTTTGAGATAATTTTTTTTACTGTTTTATAAAGCACTTTCTTAATACAAATATTTTTTGAATTTAAAATTTTTGTAATAAAAATTTACTTAATTTATAAATCAATAAGAAAGTTGTGTCCAAAATGAAGCCTGTTTCAATGAAAGTTTACAAATGTTTTTAATTACAGTATGAGATTAAGGCTTTATTTATGACGACTTTTTAATTGCTTCTTAAAACAGCTTTTTAGTTTAAAAATTAAAATTTGTATACTAAAGAACTACTTTAAAAAGCAGTAAGAAAGTCATCTCAAAATGAAGCCTAGGCTTCGTTTTGAGACGGCTTTCTTACTGCTTCTTAAAGCAATATTTTAGTAAAACAATTCTCAATTGCAATGAAGTAACAGTTCTGAAAGCCTTAAGAGAAAGAGGAAGAAGCCATTGAAAGAGATATATATAGTAAGCATGACATCAGAATGACATCAGAGCAAACATTGTATACTGGAATGGAATTGGATGTAGCATTCACTATTCATATACAAGATACTAAAAATAAGCTAGGTATTAATAATTAAAAATCTAAATGAATTTTGTATTATATAAAAACTCAAAAATGAATAGGAAGATATAATATAAATTTTAAATATAATTACTTTAGGTGTTATAACGAGCATGCATATTATTCAAAATATCTTCTATTATGTTAATGTAGAAATATGATGTGCTCACTAAATTGAGTTATGACGAATTGAGTTTGGTGAGAGAGACGGGATGTGGGAGAGGGAGACGGGATGAAGGAGAGTGGGCTGGGATTTGTTTGCAAGAGCTAGGTCGCATAAGAGGGGAGAAATTACTCTGTTCGGACACCAAATGTCGTCCAGAGCTCAATGAAAATGTGCCACGTCACTCGGTAATCGATAGCGCGAGTCGGTACAATGGCTCTTTACTGCTATGTACCAAATGATGTGGCGCGTTTACATTGGGCTCCGGATATTAGTTGCATCTGGCATTAAATGTGGTTTAAAACGCTGTTAAAAGTCCTTTATATATAGTAGCAATTTTCAAAATGGCTCTACTAAATGCTGCGAAAAATGTCAATTTTTAGCGGTGAACGATTATAAGAACAACAACACCAAAAATAAATAAGACGGCCCTAAGATAGAGTAGGATTATTCACATGTTCTAAATTGTTTTTGCTACAAATGAACAACCATCCATCCAGTGAATGCAACATTTTCAGCTCCTAGCTAGCCATCATAAATCATCAAATAGATTTAAATTAACAGACCGGAAAAGCCTAAGACGATGATTTTTTTTTTCCTTGAAAGATTCACTGTGGAAACATAATTTTTATGTAAAATAAAATTTAATTTTTAAATTTAGATAATAATTTTCAACATTTTATCAATTAAATTAACACCCAAAAGACAATATAATTTAAACAAGCTTTAAACTTCAATATTTTTTCTTACAATCTCATTGCATCACATCATTAGATTGACCACAAAAGCTTCCGCACTCATAATTGATCATTCAAACAAGAAGTTTTTAGCTTTTCTTCTCTTTTGTCAAAGCTTACTTTGTCGCTGCATCGTAAACAAGAAAAGATCATAGTAACAACTATTAATTAAGATAAATGCCTGCTGATCTGAAAGCCAAAGCCACAATAAAGCATCTGCTTTCTAATTAAAGTTTCATCAAACAAAGCAGATTTCCCTTTGTTTATACAGTAATTGTAATCGAAAGCCATCTGCCAGATCGCTGACCTCATTGCCAATGCACACTTTGTTGGAGAATTAAGAGGCTATAAAAAGAGGAAGAATTTTAAAAGAGAAGAGAAACACTTATAAAACTCACTTTTATGTCACTCTTGAACTCTTAATTCTATTTCTTACAAAAACACAAAGACATCACACCTATTTATACTAGTGACTTCCCCTTTAGGATGGTGCCAACACATTTCAATCCAATGGCTACTATTGACTCTCTAGAATATTCTCCTATCTTCTTTTACAAAAGTCATTAATTGCATATTCTAGAATTCTCTAAATAACTCTTTTAGAATATATTTTTAGAATCCTCTAAAACATTCATCTTAAAGTGGGATTATAGTATATTCTAAGGACTTTTCTAGACTATGGGCTCAATTAAAAGACCCACTCAATTAAAGGCTCAAATTAATCAAGTTTAATTTTCAACACCCCCTCTTAAACTTGATTTGCTATCCTGAGCAATCTTCTTATCCTGATAAAATCTTCATGCTTGAGTGGCTTGGTGAATATATCAGCTACTTGATCATAAGTCTTCACATACTCTTTTTGCACATCCTTTCTTGTGATGCAGTATCTGATGAAGTGATAGCGTGTGCCGATTTGTTTACTTCGATTATGAAAAATAGGATTCTTGGCCAAGACAATAGTTGACTTGTTATCGACACAAATCTTTGTTGACTTTTCTTACGGTAGTCTAATTAAGCTCCTTCAATAAATTTTGACGTCAAATTGCATGACAGACACATGAAGTTGTAGCAATATACTCAGCTTCATAAGTAGAAAGGGCCACGATTGGTTGCTTCTTTGATATCCAAGTGAAAATAGTGTCTCCAATGTAGAACACGAAACCCACAGTGCTTTTTTCGCTCATCTAAGTCTCCGGCCTAGTCGCTATCACTATATCTGACAAGCTTGAAATCATTTGATGATGAATAGAATAAACCAAAGTCAATCATCCCTTTGATATATCGAAGAATCATCTTGGCAGCCTTTAAGTGAGTAGTTGTTGGTACCTCCATATAACGACTAACTATTCCAACAGGATAAAGGATATACGGCTTAATGCAAGTCAGGTAGCACAAGCTATCGACCAAGCTCTTGAAAAATGTTGGATTAACTATTTCATTATTCTCCTTTTTTGATAACTTGCCTCCACATTCCATTGGAGTGCTTATGGGGTTGCAATAATTCATATTGAATTTCTTGAGTATTTTTTTTTTCATAGCATTCTTCACTACAGGAAAACAGCTAATTTATGGCGGAATTTCCGGCGAAAATAAATTCGACAGAAATTCCGGCGAATTTCCGATGGAAAATTTTTTATGAAGAACCATCGTATTTTTTGATTTGCTTTCCAACGGATTTAATTTCGACAAAATTTCCGACGAAATTTCAGGCGGATTTCCGACGAAAATTAAATATGTTTAAAAAAATTGTTATAATAAATATTTATAATTATTTATTTTGTTAAATTAAGTTAAATAATTTAGTGACTCATTATCAAATTAAATTATTTAGAGTTTAGAAAAATAATATATTTTTAAAATTACGTTAGAATATAATAATATATATTTTTAAAATTATGTTATAATTAATTAGTTTTACTTATAATTATTTTTTATATAAATTTATTAGTTCTACTTAAAATATAATAAAGTCCAGTTCATAGCAGTTTTTAAAGTTTGGCCTAGTGGATGGAGCGGGTGAGAGAAACTTGGCGGGGGTTCGAACCCCGTCGCAGGCGCGTAAGCGCGTTGGTGAGCGGGGGCTGTTTGGGAACGCCTGAGGTTGACGTGCTGAGGGGGTGCTTGGGGGGGAGGTGCTCGGGTAAGATGGAGTAGGCGGGCAGCTTTTTAGTTTTTTTTTACTTATTTTCCGGCGCAAAAATAATCCGCCGGAAATATGTCTCCGACGAAATTTTCGCCGGAAATACTTCGGAAATATTTCCGGTGAAATATTTAACTCCGGAAGGACTTTTCCGACGCGTGGTTTACCAGCGGAAATAAGCATTTCCGGTGGATTTTATCCATTTTTTTCGACGAAAATGACCGCCGGAAATGACATTTTTTCCTGTAGTGCTTGAGAAATAAAGATGCCTTCATCCTTTTACTTAACTTCAATACCGAGGTAGTATGCCATTTGTCCAATCTCCGTCATCTCGAACTCTTTAGCCATTACTTTCTTAAATTCTTTAAACATACTTGGATTACTTCCAGTGAAGATCAAGTCATCCACGTACAAGAACACTATCAAAATATCCCCATCCTTGACTTTGATGTAGAGGGCATGCTCATAAGTACATTTGCTGAAGTTATTCTCAAGGAAATACTTGTCGATGCGGTTATTCCAAACCCTAGGAGCTTGTTTTAACCCATAAAGAGCCTTCTTCAACTTCAAAAACCTTGTCTTCTTTCCCTTTGACTTTATAGCCCGGTGGTTGTTGAATGTATACTTTCTCTTCAAGGACTCCATTTAGAAAGGTAGATTTTACATCCATTTGATGTTTTTTCCACCTATTTTGAGCTGCCAAAGAAATGATTAGCCTTATAGTTTCAAGTCAAGCAATAGGAGCAGATAACTCATCATAGTCGATGCCAGCTATTTGGCTGCAACCTTTCGCCACTAATCTTGCTTTATATTTCTTGACTTTTCCTTTTGCATTCTTCTTTACTTTGTACACCCACTTTACACCAATTATCTTGTGTCCTATTGGAAGTGTAGCTATCTCCCATGTATTGTTTTTCTCGATTGTCTTAATTTCTTCGTGCATTGCATCCTTCCAATTCTTAATTTGCACGGCTTCTTGAAAATTTATAGGTTCACAATCAGCAAAGAGGCAAAAGAGAGTGAGATTGTCTTGATTCTCAGTTACCTCATAGATTTTCTGTAAACTTCTAAAATGTGATACTTTTTCGCTTGACCCTTCACTTGAAGATGATGGATCCTCTTGAATACTTGCAGTTGGTGTAGTTGGTGGTGTTATGGGCTCGTCTCTTTCTTGATCCATCCTTGGTTGCTCAACTTCTCCATCCTTAAAGAAGTTGTAGTGATCTTCATTTGGGTCCAAACCCATTCTCCTACTTCATTGAAGATGACATCACGACTAATGATTGTCTTCATAGTGTTTGGATTGTATAACTTGTAGCCTTTTGAGCTAGAGTCATAACCGATGAAAATGTACTTCTCACTCTTGTCATCTAGCTTACTTCGTTGCTCATCGGGTACATGCACATGGGCTATGCTTCCAAACACTCTTAGATGAGAGATGTCGAGCTTCCTTCCACTCCATGCTTCCTGCGGTGTCATTCCCCACACACTTCTTATTAGAGATCGTTTGGATAAGTAAATCACGCATGCAACAGCTTCGGCCCAAAATTCCTTAGGTGGTCTTTTACTCTTAAGCATACTTCGAGCTATATCAAGGATGGTTTGATTCTTTCTTTCTGCTATACCATTTTGTTGAGGAGATCTTGGGACGGTCAACGGTCGACATATTTTGTTGGCTTCACAAAATTCTTGAAATTCCTTTAAAGTAAACTCTCCTCCTCCATCAGATTGCATAGCTTTGATCTCGAGGCCGCTTTCTTTCTCCGCCAAGGCTTTAAAATTTTTGAATACTTCAAATACCTTTGATTTTTTCTTTAAAGAATATACCCATAATTTTCTTGAAAAATCATCTATAAAGAGAAGGAAATAATTACTCTTACTGAGATAGCTTGGCTTGATTGGACCGCATACATATGTATGTATGAGTTTAAGTGGCTTCTGTGCTCTCGAATTTGACTCCTTTGAAAAGCTCTTCCTGAATTGCTTCCCGAGCAAGCAGCCCTCACATAACTGATCTGGGTGTTTGATGCAGGGCAAACCTCTCACTATTTTCTTCTTTGATAATAGCTCCAATCCTTCAAAATTAAGATGCCCAAATAAAGATGTCAGAGCCAAGATGGGTCTCTGTAGCAAGCTTTGAGACACTTGGAAATATCATTTTGAATATTGAGCAAGAACATTCTGTTTCTTGACATCGGTATATTTTCAATTAGGTTGCTCATATTATCTCTTATAGATAGGTTGTTATCTTTCAAATAAATATCATAACCTTTCTCTAAGAGTTGACCCAAACTTAAGATATTACTCTTCATATTTGGCACATAAAAGATGATGAAAATGAATTGGTTATTTCCATTCTTCAATCAGATATAAGAATATTTCCTTTGCCCTTCACATCAACCTTGGACTCATCTCTAAAGGATACATTGCCGCTCACCGACTCATCAAGTTCCACTAACATGCTTTTTCTTCAACACATATGGCTCCATGCACCGATGTCTAGATACCATGTATTATCTCCACCTTTTTCACTCTCCTTATATGTCAATAGCAAAGTGCCATCTTGTTGACTTCTCTCTTTCACAAAATTAGCCTTCTCTTCAACTTTATCGTTATTGGGAGTTCTACATTCTACAGCATAGTGACCATATTTTTTACACTTGTAGCACATCACTTGAGATTTATCATACCTTGGTCTTGGTTTTCCTCTTTCACGTCCTCTTGTTGAACTTCCTCCTTATCCAAAATTTATATTATCGTTCTCTCCATTATTAAAGCTCCAACCTCATCCGCGTCCATGACCACGGCCTTGTCCTCGACCATGACCTCTTGCTTGTGGACTTCTACCATACTCGAGGCTCTCTTCATTAACTGAATTAATTTGTGTATTTAGGAGTTGTTCCGTGATAACTTGCTTCTTCTATTTCTTTTCTTCATAGGCTTGTAAGGATCCCAAGAGTTACTCGATTGTCATAGCCTCTAAGTCTTTAGTTTCTTCAATAATGGCGATAATATGATCAAACTTTAAATCTTGAGAACGAAGAAATTTCTCCATAATCCTTACATCTTCTAGCTTATTTCCATTTCTTTTTAATTGATTAGAAACAACTAAGACTCTAGTAATGTAAAACACCTCCAAAGCTGATTTTTTTGAGTGCAGTTAGTCCGTACGAACTAGCTTTAGTACGGGACAAACTGAAGAAAATTATAAAGAATCTGTCAATTTTGTCTGTACGAACCTGGAAGGGTCAGGACGATCCGTCTGGACGAAATTTGTCCAGAGAGCAAGTCGTCCGGACGCTATTTAATTTCGTTTGGACGAAATTCTGCCTGAGGGCAAATCATCCCGGGACGAATTTTGGATCGTCCGGGACAATCATTGTTAATAAATATCCGATAGAGATATTTTGGATTCATTTGAAGAGAGATAAAGAGAATTTAGGAGAGAGAAAAAGAAGGAAAGAAAGGAAAAGCTTGGTTTCAGAGGCCACGGAGCGATTTTCGACTGTCGTCGTTGTTAGAAGATTTGTTCGTCTTGTAGTAAGGACTCCAAATCCTATTTCTATTTTTGAAGATTTCGAGTTTTGGTATTTCTGTGCTCAGATTTGTTTTTCCGTTACCGAAAAACGCGCATAATTTTGTATTGACGAAAGTTTTACCGCACAACTTTTGATATGTTCCTGAGATGCTTATTCTGCACGATTTGAGTATTTTCTGTAAAGTTTCTACCGGTTATTTTGAGTTATGTGCGATTTTTATCGAATAGAAAATTATCTGGTTGTTGAAAAATAGTGCTTCAGTACAAGTAAAGCTTTGTAATATTGTTTTCTTTGATTTCTGGTAATTTGGTAAATTTCTAAATCTGTGATTTCTGTGTACATTCCGTGTATTGCCGTTATGCCGCCGATGTCTCGTACGACTTCTGATTTTCTGAATTGATGATTTGAATGATTGAATATGCGTACGAATGTGGATATATGATTGAATTATTGTTATTGTTACTAAAAGACAAGTAAAGACTGGTTGAACCGTTGGTTGGAGATGATACCTGTACAGGATGGTGGGCCGACGGGGTTTCCTTTAAAAAGGATTTGGTAATATCCTCTACTGATCACGTGATTACCGAAGGGAGTTATAAAGAGATTACTGCGCCGACGGGCAAGAGTGACGACTCTTTTCACTGAGCCAACGGATTACTAACATCGATACTAACATTGAAAAACGCCTTAATAGCCAGTGATTGTACTTGTTAAGTAAGACTTCTGTATTGTATTGCATGCGTACATAACTGTTCTTATGATTTCTTGATGGATTTACTGATTTATTGCGATCGATTGATTTATTGATATAGAATTGATTTATCGATATTGAATGGATTTAACGGATTTACGGGTTTACTGTTACTATACGATTTTATTGATATTGCATATGGTACATATCACTGGACATTGATACTTATACTGATATGGATATGGATATTGTATTGATTCATGGATATAGATACCGATACCGATACCACATTACCACTGATACATTGATTCATTATACTGATCTTATAGCACGTGATACACCGAATAAGATACATGTGATACACCGAACAAGATACATGTGATACACCGAACAAGATGCATGTGATACACCGAGCATGTGATTATTGATTTATTGATTTTTATATTATTTTATTTCATTGATTGATTTCAATTGTATTTGATGATTTTATTGATTTGATTTCATCTGTTCTTACGATGTATTGATTTGATTATTTTATGTGATTCCATACCGATTGATATTATTGACCGGAATTACTTGATTTACTTATATGATTGATTCGATTTCACTGTTATAGCATAATCGTTTATGTCATCATTGCATTGTTATTGATATTGATACATACGCTGCTGTAATGATTGAGATACTGATCAAATGATATATGATTTACTGAACATGTTATATCGATTACTGGATTGCATATGATTTAATGTTTGGAGACGCACCTTAAAGTAGTCGGAGACGACTTCAACTTCTTTCATATGTAAGGCTTCGAACTCACCTCTTAATGTTTGGAGACGCACCTTCTTGACTTGCTCCGCTCCTTTGTAAGAGGTCTGAAGCTTCTCCCATGCTTCTTTGGCAGACTTCGCATCAGAAATCTTCTCAAAAGCATCATCATATAATCCTTGAAAGATTAGATAGAGAGACTTCTTGTCTATCTTCCTTGAATCTCTTAGACTATCCCTTTGAGCTTAATTAAGATAAACTTCACTCATCTTGTGGCTCCTTGTAGCCTTTCTCTATCATCTCCCATACATCTTGCGCTCCAAGAAGGGCCTTCATTTTGATGCTCCAATTGTCATAGTTGCTTTTGTTGAGCGTTGGGACTTGGAAAGCGATTATACCATTGCTCGCCATCTCTTTAGGAAGAAACTTTGGCTCTGATACCACTTTGTTGGAGAATTAAGAGGCTAAAGAAAGAGGAAGAATTTTAAAAGAGAAGAGGAATATTTATAAAACTCACTTTTATTTCACTCTTGAATTCTTGATTCTACTTCTTACAAAAACACAAAGACACCACACCTATTTATACTAGTGACTTTTCCTTTAGGATTGTGCCAACACATTTCAATCCAATGGCTACTATTGACTCTCTAGAATATTCTCCTATCTTCTTTTACAAAAGTTATTAATTGCATATTCTAGAATTCTTTAAATAACTCTTTTAGAATATATTTCTAGAATCCTCTAAAACATTCATCATAAAGTGGGGTTCTAGAATATTCTAAGGACTTTTCTAGACTATGGGCTCAATTAAAAGGCCCACTCAATTAAAGGCTCAAATTAATCAAGTTTAATTTTCAACACACTTCTGAGGCTATAACTATAAAAATCCAAAAGGTATTCAACATTCCTTATTGATACTTGTACGTAGCCTAAAGACTTGGCCCCTTCAACTGTTTCCATGCCATCCACCATGTTTTGTTGGCACAGTCCAACGTCGACCATTTACTCTGATATTGTAATAACTATTGCATAATAGTACATGAAAAACAAATATATTTAATTGGTAATAAATTAAGTAATACTAAGAACTTTTTTTGTTATCCAACGTACACCATTTACTCTGATATCATAGCAAAACTAATAAAAAGAACCTTTTTTGTTATGCTTAAATATTATTATAAAGATTTGGCTTTCAATAGTTCGGGTTATTTTAAGATCTTTCATATATGTTTTGCTAATGATATCATCTTATTTTGTAATGGTGTTAAAAATAAAGTATCTTGACTCGAAATCTTTCTGAATATTTTTGAAAAAGAAAGTGGCCGTACCTTAGTACTACTATGAGTATTTTTTATTATGGGAAAGGATTTGGTTAGGAATAAAATTAATTGCATAAGTTCTATAACTGGCTTTAAAAATCAACCCTTACCACTTTATTATTTTGGGAACCCTCTCCAAAAGGGTCATAAAAAACATTCATTTTTGATAATTTGTTTACTAATACTGTTAAGAAATTATCTTCTTGGGGGTTCAGTTTTTTATCCATTGGGGCTAGGCTAATTCTGATTAAAAATATTTTATGATCAGTGCCTATTTATCTGTTGTAGATTGTCAAATCGCTTTTGAAGTTTGTGTCTGATTAGAGAATAACATAAATAAAAAATTTTTGGGGTTCTTTTAATACTTCAAAAAAAAATTTATTGGTCAACTTGGACTTCTTATACTTCTCCTTATATTGAAGGGGGCCTAGGTTGTAAATCTATTATATGAGTCAATCCTTCTCTATTAAACTTTGGTGAAAATTTATATATAACACTTTTCTTTGGGCTAATTTCATAATTATTGAATATTGCAATCAGTGGCATCCTAATAGAAGCTTTTTCAAGGATGGGCAATCTCCTATTTAGAATAAACTGTGCAAGATTAAATGGCCAAGGGAGGCATATTCTCTACAGTTTGGGTAATGGGGATTCTCTTGACTTTTGGCAGTATGACTAGACTGGTTTTGACTAGCTTGATTCATTCTTTAACAGACATTCTATTTCTAATATTAAGGTACTATTTCTAATATTAAGGTATCTAACTTCATCTTACATGGTCGATCGTGCACTAATCATCTTAAGGATTTACTTCCCAACTTCCATTGTTGATAAGATTTGTGACATTCCTATTAACCCTAGTGCTAAAGATTCCCCTATCATATAATTTTCAGTTAATAGTGAGTTTAACTTTAAGGTGGCTTGGCATTCTTTTAGATTTGTACAGCACATTAATGATATTTTTAGTAAAATATGGACCTCTATTACCCCCTACTAATATTTCTTTATTTACTTGGAGGATTCTTAAGTGTTTTATTCATATGGACTCCAGATTAATTAACAAGGGCATTTCGCTGGTATCGAAATGTCAATGATGTTTTCACTGAAACTTTGAATCATTTCTTGGATGAACCTGTTGCTTCTAAAGTTTGGGATACCTTGGAAACTGTTCTTCATCTAAGCATTAAAAATAATCTAAATAATTGCATGTCTTTCTTATCTAATTTGTTTCATAAAAAGCCCAAAGGCCACATTGACACTATTATTCCTATAACTTTTTTTTTTCTCTTGTGGTATGAAAGGAATCATAACAAACATAATGGGTGTTAAGATGATCACCGATAGAATTATTTTATGTCTCCAAAATAAAATTCACTAGCTTTTCTTGGCTAAAATAATTAATCAAAAATATTTTAAAGATAATATATCATGTTGTTTTGTCTTTAATATTATTTTTTAGCATACTATTATTGATCAACCTTATAAGATTATTTACTAGATCAAAACACTTCCCAATTTACCTCTAGTTGTGGTGGCCTTATTAGAGACATTCATGGTGCTCTCTTATATGCCTTTGCTTCTCCTCTTCATAAATGTCATGTTATATATGCTAAGATGAGTGCTTTTATTTGAGCATAAACTTATATGCGTCCAAAAATTTGACAAATATCCGGATTGAATCGGATTCTATGGTGCTCGTCTCTCTCATATTTTACAAGCATTGTCATAATGCAATACTTTTCAATCTATTTCATAAAACTTGATTTTAAGTTTGCCTCGATAATTTGTGATGATGTATCAATAATAATATATAATAATAGTTTTTATATTTTAGATATTTAATAATAAATATATCTCTGTTTCGTATCGTATCATGTTAATATAATATGTCATATTAATCAAACAAACCAATATGAGTATTTTATTTAAATATTTTGAATATTTTAAATGCAGCAGCTATTTAAAAGTAGGAATTCTATATATCCAAAACAAAGCAGCAGCTATGTTTTCAACGTAGCAACTCAACAAAGGCTGAGTTTATCTTCCTATGGTAGAGAGAAGTTATTTACTTGCTTCTTTTAGAAATTTGGCGCACAAAGCTCATCTAAGGCTTTCTTAGATGCGCTTATGGGTTCGGAGATTTGTATATAAATGCCTGTAATGAAATTTGTGATTTTTTTTAGAGAGAGACAGAAAGAGAGAAGAGAGCACATGATTAGATAGTTTTTTTTTTTTCTTCTTTATTCAAGCAACAATTATGATCGAAAGCCATAACCAGAACAGAGTCCTTTAATGAAAATGCACAGACTTCTGAGGTTATAATTATGTGAAAACAAATGTTCAACAGTTCTAATTATTATGTATGCATGTACGTAGCTGAAGGAGTAGGCACTTTCAGCTGCTTCCATTCCACCCACCATTTTTTATTTTTTTGAGACAGGAAGGTTGCAGTGCAGCGTAGATCAAAAATAAAAATCAATTTTTATGATTAAAAAACTAATTTTTTAAGATTTTTAAGGAACTGCAGATTTAGCATATTGAAATTAAGGTTTTGGGTTTTAGGGCGGGATTAGTTATAGATTATACTATTTAAAACTAGGCAAACAAAGATTATTTCTGAACACAACAGATATCATTTAAAATACATATGAAGTGGAAAAAGCGAGCACTTCTCAATTTATAATTTCCTGTTGCAAATATGCTAATTATGTCCTCTGTGAATCACCACATTCTGTAGATGTATCACTACGTAATTTATAAAGTATAATTGAATTATATAGCTTCTTGCTCTACAATTAACTGATTTTTCAACTAGAGAACTACAAGAGAATCAGTCCTTTATTTGTTCATGAGACTTATAAAGCTAATTACAGTATGTATTCTACTTTTCTAAGAACAGGAAATAAAGTGCATCCTTAATACTTGTTTCAAAGTTTTGAAATTTTTTCTTTTTGAACAAGGACTAAGGATCAGGCTTTTTGATAAATCAGTGTGTAAAAAAATGTTAAAGCATTATATATACGTGGAGTTTACTAATAGGTATTCACATGAAGCATCATAAGTTGCTGCTTTCTGGAACCAATTAATTCAACTATTCACCAAGCAGCAGGGAGAGCATTGAACAATAACAGCAAAAAATACAACACAAGTTTGGTTTCATACTTGACTTGCTTAAGAGACGACAAAAAAAAAATGTACAATAGAAAATCTAGTTTCCTTTTGCCAAAAATGTTTCTTCGACCATTGGGTTGTTAAACTCATATTGATTGAAACTTAATATTAAAGTTCAGAAGACGAAGTGCTGATATGAACCTCATCCAAATTCTTTCATAGCTTCCAATGAATAAAAATTTCTTATGATTCTAACATTTCATGAGTTCACCATATGGCTCAAAATGCCTCTCCATGCAAGTCCCTCGTCCTAGTATTTATTGGGTCAAAATTAATAACAAACAATGTTTTTGAAGGCCTTGAATTAGCTGACAATCTTCTCGAACTAACAGACCTACAACCACGTTCTTGCTACAAAAGGAAGCCATTACGTGGACAATGATTGATTTCTACCTTCGTCCACTCAACACAAAGTCGGCGTCCTCGGATTGCATCCTCAGCATCACGCTCATCTTCCATGTAAACAAAAGCAAATCCTGTAAAATGAAAGTATAAAGAAGACATTGTAAGAGAATACAACCTTCCAAATAGAATTCACCTATGAAATTGAGTTGGATCAGTCCCTTACAAAGCCTTCCCATCGAGTAAAAGCTAAAGCTAGTGTCCAGATTAATCAGGAAGAGACATCTTTTTATGTACTAAGGGATGTCACGGAACAACAAATGTAGGCCTTATCCATCCATTCTCCAGCCAGTCGCCACATCAATATGGAAATCATGATTGGATAAGTATCTTGGAAAACATTTCTGAAATAATGAAATGTCATTGCAAATTATGGTTAAGATAAACTCACGCATAGGCAGGAAAGCCGATGCACAGGAAGACATTCCTGCGGCAAAGACAATGTTGACTGTAAGAGCTTAAACGTCAAAAAACAGCTTTAAAAATTTGCTCTAATTCCCCATCAGAAATCCACAAGTAGGCCTTCATCAAAACTTGATTGCGTCCAGAAATGACTACATGGCATTAAGAATGCTCCTAACACTTTAAAGACCAAATGCCATAACCACCAGCATTTATTGAAATGACCATATGTATTTTGTCGAATAAACACAGCCAAGGAAAAAAAATATGAACCATGCAACTCAGATTCAATAAAGAAAAATGAAGCCTTACCATTTCATATTTGAAGTAAAGCAACACATAGATGTTGGGAAAGCTTAAAACGAATTTATAATTGTATATATTCAACAACTCTGAACTAAATAGTATGTACTTCTCTTAATGAACAAAATCCTTATAATATTTCAAAACATCGGCCATACATAATGAAAATATCATGCCCATTTATACTACTCCTTTCATTCTTCTACACTTTGGATGTCAATTAGGCGAAAATTGATCATTATCTCCCTGTTATTAGCATAGAAGTCATCAGTAAAAATGAAGGTGATAAATAAATTAATAAATAAAAATATCTAATTTTATAATTTTATATACCATAGTTGAGCTTCCTGGTAGTGGATGTTGTCCCTGATGATTTTTCATGAATTGTCTGACCTCACTTTGTAGTGTTTGTACCACCTCCTCAAGTCTTACAACTCGTTCAAATGCAGTATTGCCTCCACTGCTGCTGCCTCGAGCCGTGGTGCTATGAGGAAAATATCTACTTGGAGTGACCCCAAAACCCTGTGTACGTACCCTCCCTGAGTGTTCTGGTCCCATGATTGCTTTGAAAACTTTTTCATTGGCCTCTAAATTTCCATCTTCTGGTGTCAAGTTTCTTCTTGTCTCCTGACAGAGCTCACCCGACCCATCGTATGCGGACACGTTTGTTTTTTTGCATTTTCTGAATTTCTTAACGCCCTCTCCTATAATGAATAATCATCATATTAATTTTATTTTTAAAAAAGCTTAATAACACTGTTTATTTTCCTAACTCACCTTGTCCTGAGGTTGTGACCACTTATTAATAATTTGACACCACTACACTGGGTCTACTCCTGCAGGGACAGCCTCCATGATCTCCTGTAGTGGTCTACTATCCCAATGCTCTGCCTTCAAATTAGTTTTATAATTACGCCACTTGGAACCAAGAGATTGTAGTATCCAATGCTTTATGTTTGCGGGGAACTCAAATTTTGCCTGATAAATGTTAAAGGATTTTAATTATCAAACAAATATAAATAACATCAGACTATTTGTTATGATACTTACCTCTATTCCGCTAACATTCTCTTTTTAAAAGGTTCCATCCCTTTATTGCGCCAATCTGAGAATGAGATCGGTGCCAAAATAGGATCTCTATCTATAACCCCTAAGTATGAACCAAGCAGAGTAGACTCTGGTATATTACATGGCACCATATTCTCATTGACTTCAATGTGAACCCGTGTACCTGGAGGCATGCTCTGTATCTCTGCACAAGTAGTTCGACCTCTCTTTTTTATTGGAGCACCCTCATCATCTGAAAAAATAAAGATAAAAGACATAATTATTTTATTAAATTATTAAAATTGACATAAATAAATAAATATTTAAGTGAACAAAAACCTATGAGCCAAATTCCATCATTCACCGGCGGCACCTGCCGCCTTAAATCTTGAGATGACTGAATCGGGGATTGTTCGTTGTTAGCATTGGATGAATCTGGATGCACCGGAGTCGATGTATTATTAGAAGTTCTATTACTCTGTTCTACACTGGAAGATCCTCGACGTGTAACCTTTTTAGCACGCCGGAATGAGCTACTTCCTGTCATTCCTATTAGTGTAAACAAAAATCCAAGTTCAGGCAGAAGGGAGAGAGAATGTACTGTACTAAGAATTGCAGATTGGATAAAATGCTATTCAATCTGTACTAGAAAGTTGAAGAACACCTGCTAAATTTTGCTAAAAGTAACATGTCAATACAATATTCACTTGAAGAGACAAATATAAGTACTTACGTAAGATAGCAGGCTAGCATCACAAAGAGTTTTGTTGAGTTGATCGTGCACAATATAAAAAATATGAATCAAGTAGTAAGATTGAAGATCTTCTATCAGGATAGAATAAGCAGCTTTTTTTAGAAAGCGTTGTTAAATAAGCCAAATATTACTAAAACACACCTTTGTTTAGCTGCACACCTGGATAATTCATCATTGCATCTCCTTTTAGTATAGCAAAGTAGAGTTGATACTAGAAAGTTGAGAGTGATTACAAGGAAACCGAACTCAAGCATCTGCCAGCAATGTCATATTCATACTCATCCCTCTTCTTAGACTACAAAAAGTAAGCTTATTGAAGCCAAAGTCTTCCAGGTCCAATCACCTTCACCTCTACCGTGCCTCCTCCTAGTTTACCTGTCTATAACTTTACATTTCTAATATGAAATAATCCATTACTATCAAAATTAAAATTCCCCAATTTGGCAGTGAAAAATCCATCATAAATGTCTAAGTTTCTAGCACATACTACGTATCCCTCAAGTTGAATCATTTCAAGTAAAATTTGAATGTGTAATCTCTTTGAAACTTATCAATCTTAGATGACTTGTTCATACTTAGACGTTGTGATCTAGATACATCAATGACATTCCACTGCTCTACGCACATGGTAAATACAAGACAATTGAAAAAAAAAATCTATCACATGAGTACAGCATACGGCAAATTATAACCTCGTAACCAATCCTTGAATAAGAAGGCAGCCAACGAAATGAAAAAAACTGAGGAAATTCTCATCAGCAAGGAAAAAGTTTTAAATTTCCTGAGAGTTGATTTTGAAATGCTAATACAGTAGCTAATGCCTTGTTACAGCTGGAAAAGCATTGTGTGGTAAACAAGCTAATATGAGAAAGTGGGATTTTTTCAGCTTGAATTGTTTACTCTAGAACGAACAAGAAATAAACTTCAACTTGCTACTTGTCAAGAAATCTTCTTCAGTCCAGTTTATTTTTAATCAAAACAAAATTGAGCAAAAAACCAAGTAAATGAACATTAAATGCATTTATAGAACCACAACATCCTTTAAGATCTCTTAAAAAAAACGGCTTACATATGCTATTTCTGTAATGAACACAAAAACTTGTCATTGGGTGCCATGGCATACCATAACTATGCACAGGTCATCCATTACATAGCATACTGTTGATGTACATTGCCAAGAAACACAATAACTACTCACATAGCCTAATAACAAGCCCAAAATATTAAATGTTAGAATAATTAATCTTATAGGTGACACAATAACATGAACAAATTGATTTATTCTATGAGAAGGTCATATGCATCAAGCTTTTATGTATTATTTTGAAAAGCATCAACTCAAATATTAGCGAATGTATTGCTAAACAACAAATGAAGGCAATAATGATCTGAATTGCATGAGGTGTACTTCAAGATGACTTAAACAAGCTAAAATTGTTGCAAATATATCCCATGAATCTTCAAAGCCAACTCACTCCTTGAGTTTCAACCAGTAAATCTATTTAATCATTCTGTTGGGATTTTATCGTGAATTAGGCCATAGCTTCACAGAAAATAACAAGGTATTATGAGCATTGTGAAGCTGAGGAGGTGCATGCATAGTAGATTACCTTCATTTTAAGCATCATTGATGTTTTTGATTCATGAATAATAAACACATACATCATATCGTCTCATAGTAAGGAAGAAAAAAAGGATAAGACAAGAAATGGATCATAAATTCCTACAATTATTCTGTAGAGAAATGCTTGAATCAAATACATCTCTAGCCTTTACTGGTAAAACAAAGTTCCAGTTTTTATTTTTTGGATCTTCAATAAAAAAAATGGGCTCAACTTGTGATGAGAAAACAAATGGATCATCTGCCCATCTATCACCTGTGTGTATTAATCGTGAAAAATTAACCAATGTATTTTCGTAATGATCTACTTTAGTGCCAGCTGAAGTTGTGTTAGCCCAATCACACTTAAAGAAGACCACACGAAATAAGTCGGAATAATTAAGCTCAATAATATCATTCAGTTGACCATAATAAGAAAAATTTCCAACTTCAGTTTTGTTAACGACGCCATAATTTTGTGTCTTCTTGTTCTCATCGCGAGCTTTAGTATGAAATTCATACCCATTAATATAAAATCCTTTAAATCTTCGTGCGATTTTCTTAGGACCAATCGCGAGAGCTCTAATTTCTTCTATAACATTTGAATCATCTATACATGTAATCTAAACAAAAAATTATTAGTCAAATTAAGCATATGATATTGAAATTAATTGAGAGATTTTGATATCTTACTGTTCGTTTGAACCAATCATGAAAATGATCATTAACAAGTTTATCAAGAGCTAATGGCATTAGAGGAACATTGTTGGCTCTTTTTTGTCTCTCTTCCTCCTTGTACATATCAATATACTTTGTTAAATGATCAGAATGTCGGAGCACATATCTATGACCTTGAATTAATGATAGGTCATCTAACACAAATATAGACACTTGACCCAAAGGTTTACCAGCAGTTAAGAACTTGTAGGAAACACCATCATCCTTAGATGAAATTGTAGTAGATATGGACTTGGGGAAAGTCGGCAGACCATCCAGATATTTTGAGCAAAATGAAATTCCCTCTTCAGCAATGTATCTCTCAGCAATTGACCCTTCAGGTTCTGATTTATTTCCAACAAAATCCTTTAATACTAAGAAAAATCTGTAAATTATAAAAATACACATAAATATACCGCACTAAATCATAAAACATTGAAGCAATAAAAAAGATATATTACCTCTCAAAAGGATACATCCATCTATAATGTACAGGCCCACCAAATCTCACTTCTTCAACCAAATGGATGAGTAAGTGGACCATGATAGTGAAGAAGGATGGGAGAAAGTACTTCTCCATATTACATAAAGTTAATGCAATTTCCTTCTGTTTCTTGTCAAGTTCAATTGGATTTATGACCTTCCCACATATGAATTTCAAGAAATGTGAAATCCCAACAATTATGGTTAAAACTTCGTTTGATGGAGCACATGATCTTAATGCAATAGGCATAATATCCTCAATTAGTACATGACAATCGTGGCTTTTTAGACCTATTATTTTGCACTCTTTAATGTTAACACCCTTAGAAATATTTGATGAATAACCCTTAGGTAACTTCATCTTCTTGAGAACTTCACAAAACATCATCTTATCCTTCTTAGACATGGTAAATAGAGCTGGTGGTAAGACATAACTTCCATCTGAAAGGACATGAGGATGCAGTTCAGGCTTTACTCCAATTTGAACCAAATCTTGTCGAGCTTGTAAGTTATCTTTAGATTTCTCAAGATCTAGCAACGTAGAAATGAAGTTATCAAAAATATTTTTTTCTATATGCATAACATCTAAATTATGAGGTAATATGTTATATTGCCAATAAGATAAATAAAAAAATATTGATTTCTTCTTCCACTTAGTGACCATATTGTCATTGATAGACATTGCAGCTTCATACCCTCTCTTCAATATTTTTAACCTATTTTTATCAATTTTTCCAAGAGTGAATTGATGATTCTGTAATTCAGTATAAATTTCACTGCCAGAAATCCTTGAAGGCGCCAATCTGAGTTCATCTATATTATCAAAGTACTGCTTTTGCTTGCAAAATAAATTAGATGATGTAAGCCAACGTCGGTGGCCCATGTATGCAAACTTCTTACTCTTATACAACCATAAGGACTCCGTATTGTGGGCACAACATGGACAAGCAAATCTGCCTTTGGTGCTCCACCCCGACAACATGCCATATGCAGGAAAGTCATTAATGGTCCATAATAATGCTGCACGCATCATAAAATTTTCTCCACTTGCTGCATCATAACATTGAACACCTTGCCATAATTGTTGCAATTCATGAATCAGAGGTTTAAGATAAATGTCAATGTCATTTCCAGGACTTTTTTCACCTGGTTTAATCATTGAAAGAATGAATGATGATTGTTTCATTCCACTCCAGGGGGGCATATTATATGGCACTAGAATCACTGGCTAAATGCTGTATGTGCTGCTCATAATCTTGAAAGGATTAAAACCATCAGTAGCTAAACCAAGGCGAACATTACGCGGATCTGCGGCAAAATCAGGAAATCTGTAATCAAATGATTTCCATGCATCTCCATCAGCTGGGTGTCGCAGCATACCATCTGTATTTCGTTGTGTGGCATGCCAAATCATCTCTTTTGCCATTTTTTTGGTTTTAAATAATCTTTGAAGTCTTGGAATCAAGGGAAAATAGCGAAGAATTTTAGCAGGTTTCATTTGAACTTTTTTATCTTCTGCAATATTGCTCTTCTGATTAGGAGCCCATCTTGATGCTCCACAAACTTCACATACAATCTCATTAGACTTATCTCCCCAGAATAATGTGCAATCATTAGGGCATGCGTGTATTTTGGTATAACCAAGATCAAAAGTCTTCATTAATTTTTTGACTTCATATGTAGTTTTGGGCAATGAAGTCCCTTCAGGAAATGCTTCAATAAGTAACTCTAATAACATATCAAAAGATCTTGCAGTCCAAGAGTTTAGACATTTCAAACGAAATAAATGTAATATAAATGACAGCTTTGAAAATCTCTTACATCCGGATATAATTCTGCCCCCACATCTTCTAATAACTTTGACTGTTTTTCATCTTGTTTATTTGAATCTTGAGTAAAGTTATCATGATGATCAACCAAGTTAATTGATTCATTGATTGGAACAAATGTATCCCTCAACAATCCTTCAATATCATCTATATATGGTTGCTCACTTTGAGTGGGTTGTGATTCAAAATTGGACATACTAATAGCACCTTCATTTTCTGCACCTCTAACAACAACTTGATGATCCTCCCCATGTCGATTCCAAACAATATATCCCGTAAAAAATCCATAGGTCATAATGTGATCCTTCACATCTTGTACTGAATGAAAGTATCTGTTAATGCATGATTTACATGGGCATAATATCTTTCCTGATTGATTCTTGCTACGACCAGCAAAATCTAAAAAATCTTCAACTCCTTTGTTGTATTCACGACTCAATCTTGACTTGGTTATCCAACTCTTATTCATTTTAAAATTGAACTGCAATTTTTAACCATTAACAATAAATATAAGTCATCATATCAAGTTAAATTTTAACAACTGAATGCTATTAATAGCTATCTTGACTTTACAATACTGAAGAGATGCATGTGATTTTTGCTTGACCAAATAACAAAAACCTACAAAGACCAAATTATTAGATACTTAGATAGTTACTGCAAGTGTCAAATATAAGTCAACAATTAAAATCAAACATAATTTCTTTAATACAAAAGCAACATACATGCTCATCCAAAGGAAATTTTTTCTTCTTTATATGACAAAAATTACACCACACTTGTCTCTGCATGCCTACTTTGGAATTAAGCTTTAAATATGTTCATTGTTTGTTTTTGTGTGTAGATCTAAGCTTGCAGGTGGGGTAGAATTTTTTGGTGCCCAAATCGTTTGCCTAGCAAAATAAAACCACCACACAAAATAAACATAATATCCTCTCCTAGGAAACAAAGGCACAACATTACTAAAAAATCTTCCTAATATCCTCTCATTCAAGTTTTAAACTAAACTAATCATGCAATAACTTCCCCCTCTCCTTAACATTTGGAATTAGGTAAGACCAAATTCAAATCACCAAGAAAAAATAAAACAACAAGAATAATTAAAAATGCAGGCTATTACAGGGGAAAAAAATGACAAGAAGATTAGCAAAAAAATAAAAAAAAAGACTAATATAAATCTTACTCAATGTTTGCTTAATTTTAGGTATGATTCAAGAAGTAAAAGGAGAAGAAGAGAGCGGCGAATGAACAGCGAAGTTCTTGTTAAAAGGGAAGTAGATGCGTCGGCGTTGGTGTCGGCTTCGTCGTCGTTGGTGTCGGCTTCGTCGTCGTCAGCGTCCGCGTCGTCGATGGTTGGGGAGGAGCGGCTGCTGAGGATGGAGGTGGCTCGCAGAGGAGATCGTGAATAGAATGAGATAGGGCTTCGGCGTCAGCGTCGCCGTCGTCGACGAAAATCGCGTGCACTCGGAGGAGATCGCTCGCTCGGAGAAGATCACGAGAAAAGAGATGTTTGGAAGAGGTCTAGAATGGGACGTCGGTACAAGGTATAGAATGCTTAGGGCACGGTTTACGGTTTACTTCTGATTTGGCGCCTCAGGCACGATTTACTTCTGATTTCGCGCCGCAATTTTCATTTTGGCGCCAATTAATAATAAAAGAAGCGGTCTTAAACCTCTTTAATTTTATATCTATAGCAGCGATATTTATTTTGCTGCAAATAAATGCTGCAAAAAATATATATTTTTAGTAGTGCAATACCGAGTAATTTCGAGCTATATTGAGCAATACCGAGTTATACAAAAGTTGTACCGAGTTTTTCCTAGAAAAAACTCGGTACAACTCGGTATTTCTCGATATAGCTCGGTATAACTCGGTATTGATCTTCAAAGAGCGGTATTCATCGTTATTATCAAATAATACCTAGTTGTACCGAGAAAATACTGCAAATAAATGCTGCGAAAAATATATATTTTTAGTAGTGAGAGAAGAGAGCACATGATTAGATAGTTTTTTTTTTTTTTTTCTTCTTTATTCAAGCAACAATTATGATCGAAAACCATAACCAGAACAGAGTCCTTTAATGAAAATGCATAGACTTCTGAGGTTATAATTATGTGAAAACAAATGTTCAACAGTTCTAATTATTATGTATGCATGTACGTAGCTGAAGGAGTAGGCACTTTCAGCTGCTTCCATTCCACCCACCATTTTTTATTTTTTTGAGACAGGAAGGTTGCAGTGCAGCGTAGATCAAAAATAGTTTTCTTACATTAAATTTATTTTTGCTCGGATATTCAATGACCATATGGGCAAAAGCTTGAGAAAGAGAGATGGTTCTCTTACTATTTCCATGTTGATGTGAGAGCTCAGTAAAGCATTAATTTAACTTGCAATAAACTCAAGTGTTGAACGCTGAAGGAAGGAATCCACAGTCAAGTAAAACAGATGGCTAAGGGCATCTCCAACGGAGAACTCCATTTTCCACGCTAAAATACCGCAAAATGTAAAAATGGCGTGGTTCTGTTCCAATCGAACGCCATTTTTTTGCTTCTGCGTGAAGCTAACGATCCTTCTCCTTTGGCGCATTTTTCTGGTTGAGAGAGGAAAATAGCGTGGGTGAACAGTGCAACGCCAATATTGTTCACCCGCAAGCAAAAAACAGCCGTTTTGGCGTTTGGCTGGAGAGACCGAACGACGCCAAACACTCGTTTGGCGTTCGGTTGGAGATGATCTAAGAGGAGGAAGAAGAAGTAGAGAGAGAGAGAGGGTGAAAAAATTAATATATCATATTATAATAGAACAAATATATATATATTCGAATTAGAACTTGTGAACTTCTGAACTGGTGATTGTAGCATTATCATGAACTATCTTGTGAATTTGTGATTGTAATGTTGTGATGAATTTTTGATTTTGTTTGTATTTTCTGGTTGTGATGAATATAGCGGCGTGTTGCCCAACATATATATGCTTTTTCTGCAGGTTTAGACTTTAGGGTGAACCTCCCTCAAATAGAGGGGATGCTGTCAATTTTTTTTTTCAGGTGCTACAGGTTTCCGGCGGCTAACCGGCGGTTTAGCCGCCAGAAACTACGATACCGGATGGACAAGATAAGATAAATAAATAAATTTCTTCCAAACTGCTGCCTGCCCTCCAATGTCACGCCAAGCTACCCGCCAACCCTCTACCTCATCAAGAGAACATCTAACACTCATCCACTCAGCGCTAAGGAAAAACTACTTGAGTTTTTATTATATTTTATTAAAATTAAAATTTATTGAACATTTATATTAAAAACTTATATTTAAATTAGTTATTTTAAATTATTATAATTATTTATTTAATTTGACAATAAATTATTAAATTGGTTAATTTATTTTACCAATTATTATTAAAACTATTAAAATTATAAATGTATTATTATTTCCCAAAATATTTTAAATTCCGTTGAAAAATCTTCCTGTTTCTTCGGTCTTCTACGTTGGAAATATTTCATTGGACATCCATCGGAAATCTGTCAAAAGTCCGCCGGAAATTTGTTTAAAAAATGACGTCATAAATCAGTCGGAAATATGTCAAAAACTATGTCGAAATTTTCGCCGGTAATATAAATTGTTCATATAGTGATAGTAACCTATCCTCATATATTATAAATTATAAGGGGGAATGCTATATACATCACTCTGGTAGGATTTTCCCTGCTCTCTCCGTTGCGCTGGTGCCGCTCTTCGCCGGTGCAAATCTTAGGGAAATTTTTCTATTTTTCTCCTCTCATTTTTCATTGCTCTGGTTTTTATTTTCATCTCAATTCATCAACCTTCGGCCTTTACGGCCAGAATAGTGGGGAATTGTCTGTTAATCCTTATTTTTTAGATGGGCAAATCAAATCTCATTCATTTCTCAGTGCTCTCTCTAGTAATTACTCCTATGCAAGATTTCCTGAGCTAAAATCTACCTTTTTAATGGTTTGCCCTCACTGTGGATCTCGGAGAAAGAGATTCTTGTGTGGCTCCTCTCCAATTTGCATTAGTTGATTTTTTCCCTTCTAGGCGATCCTCTCTTGACTCTATTCAAAGGTTTTTCTTCAACCTTAAGCTTAATGGCTATGTCGCAGTTACTTGTTGGATCCATCGCATATTTTGGTTAAGCTAGTTAATGATCTTGATTATAACATAATTTTTTGGCATATAGATCTTACCTAGTTAATAACTGCTATATAAAATTGACCAAATGGTCGCCTTTATTTGACATTGGTGTGGAGTCTCCGTTAATCCGTATTTGGGTTTCTTTCCATAACCTCTTGCGACATCTTTTCTCCCCCTTTATCTTTTATGGTCTTGGATCAATTTTTGGTCAGTCATTAAAGATTGATAATGCTACATCTATTGGTTCTCGTCCTTCTGTTGCTCATGTTTTGGTTGAGTTTGACACAACAAAAAATTACCCCGATAAATTGTGATTAAGCCTTTGAGAAATTGGATAAATTCTGCAAGTCGTGATGGAGGTCTTCCCTCCATTTTGTGTTTCCTACAAAAGTATTGGATATTTTAAAGGTGATTGTCAGCCCCATTCGTCATCTTCCCCACTTACTAGTTTTGCAAATGCTTCTAACCCTGTTAATGTTAATGTTAGTTATGATGGGAATGTTGTTGGTATTTTGGATAATTTGGATAATTGTGTTATTCCTCTTGTTATAAATATTGGGGTGGTTAATGGTGATTTTTGTGGTGAAACTGCTAATGTTGTGGAGGTTTGTCCTAGTATTGTAAAAATTGGGAATGTTATTGGTCATTCCGTTGAAGATGCTCCTCTGTTGGATTTTTCTTTGCCTTTAGGTGTTCCTATTTGTGTTGAGGATGAAGATGTTCCTTCGATTACTATTTTGCCTATGGCCTTTAGGTGTTCCTACGATGTTAATGAGATCATGGATAATAATAATTGTTTGATAAACCTTATAGCTAGTCCCATTAGTGTTGATAATGTGGTAGATGCTGGTGTTATTTCCAATTCTTTGGTGTCGGGAGATGGTGATGCTTTTAGCCCTTTGGATGTTGTGGTTTTTGCCAAACCTATTGCATTTAAGGGTGGTGTGGATTTGAGAGGTTTGGTTGCTGCTTTTGTTGAAACTCCCATGGCCTCGTTGGAACCAGTTTTATCGAATGTGTCATTTATTGATGTTCTAGTGTTGCTTATTTCTAATGATGCTTTGAAGGCTCAATTGGAGGTTAATATGAATGTTACTTGCGTGGGTCATAATGATTGGCTTGATGAGTCCCTTTCTTCACCTTGTGGGAGTGATGGGGATGATTTTGATGGGCTTGAGGATGAAGATCATGTTGTACATAACTTGATTGTTAGTCGCATCATTGAAAAAGCCTTTGCCTTGGGGGCAAACATCGTAGGAGAAAACATAAATGGAAGTTGGCTTCTTTCCCTTTTTTTTGTGCTCTATCAGGTTGTGGGTCTCTGTGGGTGGTTGGTTTGGATTTGCGTGTTGGTTGGCTTGTTTGGTTGGGGGTTAACGTCCTGGTGGCTTGGCATTGGGTTTGTTTGTTGTTCGTTTGGTGTTTTGGTTTGGGTTGGTTGAGGTGTTTGGTTGGGGGGTTGTTGGCATTTTTTGATCTTGTTTTGTGCTTCTTTTTCTTCTTATTCTTGTTGGTGTTATTTTCTTTCTTTTGTGTTCTTTTTCTTGACTTGCGTGTTTTTGGTCACTATCATACGATTGGTTCTTCTCTTTGGCTTTGTTCTATTTGGTTTTCCTTTTGTAGGTTTCCTTACTGCTCATGGTGCTACTTTTAATGGAGCTGTCCCCCTAGGTTGTTCTACTTGGCTTGATGTTTTGATTGGAGCTCTTATTAGCTTTGGCATCATTCTGATCATGGGCGGATCCCCATAGTAGTGAGGGGGGGGGGGGGGGGGGGGGGGGGCAAATGCCCACCCTCAAACTCAAAAAATTTTTTTTTTTAATTTAGATTATATATTTTGAAATATTTTGAGTATTTTGAATATTTTGCCCTCTCTCAAGAAAAAAAAAATTACCCTAATTTTATCAATCCTAATCATCTTTACGCATCCCCTACCAAAAAAAATTTTTTGCCCACCCTGAAAAAGAAGCTGGATCCACCCCTGATTCTCCCTTTTTTAGTAGGTCTTTTGGTGTTTTATTTTGTTCCTTTTTCCTTTTGCTTGTGTTTTGTATTAGTCTGAATCTTGACTTATAGGTTTTGTTTCAATTTTTGTATTTTTAAAGGGTCGTAATTCATTAAGGACTTGTAATTTTTTTTATATTAACGCTTAGGCCTATAATCTTTTTTAATCAAAAAATCAAAAATAATAAAAAAAATGGTGCATGTTACAAAATAAGAGGCAGAGAAAGGGCTATCCCTTTAATATAAAAAATAATGGACAACACCCCAACTAAATTGAGTACTTGCTTGAACTCATGATCTCAATGATCTGAACAAATATATAAACTACGAGGTAAATATTCAATTCATGAAAAGCCTATAACTTTAAATGATGTAATTTGCAAAAAATCATTATGGTAATTATAAATCCAAATGATTATTATAAATCACTAAATTAAAATCGCTACGTATGGAAGCCTATTATTGATAATGATATTAATTATAATATTATTTTTATAAAGTTAATATATTTATTGTAATACATCCATAAACAAATAGGAATGAGCACATCCATGACTAAAGCAAAAAGATATGGGCATTATATGCTCTGCATCATAATGGTGTTAAAAATAATGTCTCTAGACTAAAAAACTTTCTGAATGTTTTTGAAAAAGAAAGTGGTCTTACCTTTAGCGCTACTAAGAGTACTTTTTAGTATAGAAAAGTGTATGACTAGGAATAAAATTAATTTCATAAGTTCTATCACTGGTTTTAAAATCAAACCTTACCTCTTTATTATTTTGGGACCCCTCTCCACAGGGTCATAAAAGAACTTTCATTTTTGACAATTTGTTTGTCAATATTCTTAAGAAATTATCTCCTTGGGATTTCAATTTTTTATCCATAGGGGCTTGGCTAATTCTGATTAAAATTATTTTATGATCTATATATGCCCATTTATCTATTGCAGATTGTCAACCCGTTTTTGAAGTTTGTGTCTGATTAGAGAAGATCATCACTAAATTTGTGGGGGCTCTTTTAATACTTCCAAAAAAATTTATTGGTCATCTTGGAATTCTTGTACTTCTTATTATATTGAAGGGGCCTAGGTTGTAAGTCTATTGTATGGTTCAATCATTCTCTGTTAAACTTTGGTGAAAATTTAGATGTAACACTTCTCTTTGGGCTAATTTATTGTAATCAAGATCATCCTAATATAAGTTTTTTCACGGATGTGCAACCTCCTATTTAGAATAGACTGTGAAAGATTAAATGGTCGAGGGAGAGGTATATTATCTAGGTCTGGGTAATTGAGATTCTCTTTACTTTTGGCAATTTGACTAGACTGATTTTGACTGGCTTGATTCATTTTTTAACGGTCACTCTATTTCTAATATTAAGGTATCTAATTTCATCTTAAATGGCTGGTGGTGCACTAATTGTCTTAAGGAATTACTTCATAACTTTGTTAATAAAATTTGTGACATTCCTATTAACCCTAGTGCTAAAGATTTCCCTATCTTTAAATTTTCAGTTAATGGTGAGTTTAAGTTTAAGGTGGCTTGCTATTCTTTTAGATCTCATCAGCAAATTAATGATATTTTTAGTAAAATTCAGACCTCTATTACCCCACTAATATTTCTTTATTTACTTAGAGGATTCTTAAGGGTTTTATTCATGTGGACTCTAAATTAATTAACAAGGCCAATTCACTGGTATCGAAATGTCAATGTTGTTTTCACTAAAACATTGAATCATGTCTTCTTGAATGAACATGTTGCTTCTAAAGTTTGTGATACCTTAAAAGTTGTTCTTCAACTAAGCATTAAAACAATCTGAATAATTGCATGTCTTTCTTATCTAATTTGTTTCATAAAAAGCCCAAAGGCCACATTAAAAAGCCCAAAGCCCAAAGGCCACATTAACACAAAGAGAAGAAACATAAGAATTTTTACATGGAAACCTTAAAGGGAAAATCCATGGGGCCACGCCCAGTCGAAATTGATCAACTAGTATTTGATTTGAATAAATTACAAATAACTAATCCTCGAATTTGAGGGTGATCAGATTACAATAGTCAAACCAACATGTTAAAATCTAGTGACAAATAGGAATTAGACAAAAATCCGGCAATGATCAAAGGCTAGATGGTGTTCTAGCAACAGTTGGCGGAGGTTCACCGGTAATGATCGGTGGCTGGGTGGTGGTCGAGGAAGAGTCTGGTGGCAAGAGAGATCTCCCTTCTCTTCCATGCTTTGCTTCCCCTCAATGAAGAATGAGGGGCTTATTTATAATTTTTTAGGAGTGGCACGGCCAATAAATAGGAGAGAAATCAAGTGTATGTTGGGAGTGGTTTGAATGGACGACCAATATTGATCCCCATGATCATGAATCATTTATTAGACATTTGATTGTCTTAATTATATCAAAATTTGACGATCTTGGGCTTGTTGGAGTTGTCTCGTTGAGCTACTCGATTAGACTATAAGCATGTCACATTTGAAAATCATTTGGTCATCCAATTTATGGACTGAACTTTTCAAAGGCACTTCAGGTCTTCAATTTAGACTCATTTGGGCCAGAATTGAGTTGAAACTGGTGTCATTGGAATCATCTTCTCGAGATGCTCAGTTCGACTATAAGTTAGCTGAGATCAAAGTTCATATGGTTCCGAATTTAATTTTAAAAGTTTTCAACTTGATTTTAAGTTTGCCTCAAGATTCGTGCCCAATAAAGATAATTTGTGATTATTTATCAATAATAATATATGCTAATAATTTTTATATTTATATTTTTAATAATAAATATATCTCTGATTCGTATCGTATCATGTTAACATAATATGTCATTATTAATAAAAAAAAATCAATATGTATTTTACTTAAATATTTTGATTGTTTAAAGAAGCACAGTTTTAATAACTTTTTTTCACAGTTGAAATTAAATCGTGTGGGTCTAATCTGAGTCATCTGACAGTTTGAAGAGTTTTCTGGATCTACAAACCTTGACATATTTGTGAAGCACTGCCAATAATTAATATCTTAATTCTGCAAACTCTACGAGAAGAAAAATATGTTCATCTGTCAGAATAATAATTTAATTATGTTTTCTTATATAAAGAAGAAAATGCACACACTTCTGAGGTTATAATTATGTAAAAACAAAAGTTCACCTGTTCTAATTATTTATACTTGTACGTAGCTGAGAAGTTGGCCATTTCAGATATTTCAATAACCAAATGGGCAAAAGCTTGAGAAAGAGAGATGGTCCTCTTACTATTTCCATGTTGATGTGAGAGCTCAGTAATGCATTTAACTTGGAATGAAGTTAAGTGCTAAACGCTGAAGGAATCCACAGTCAAGTAATACAGATGGCTAAAATATTATCCTTTGCAAGTTTCTGCAAATGGAAAAAAAATATTTTCTGTAAACTAAATTGTTTAACTGATATTTTATCCAATTTAACTACTAATTATATTTGAAATTAATAACAAGCAATGAATTGTGCTTATCAAGCTCCATATGTACCTTCTCAATTTAATCTTGATCCTTTCTTGTGAAGCAACTAGCTGCGAGTTCTTTGTCAAAGAAACCAGCAGACTTCTCTATGGACCAAAATGATGGCCTACCATCCTCTTCAAAATTAGAACCCGAATAATAACAACCATCTTTATCATAATATAAGAACAATCAGTAATATTAAAATAGTATACGTAAATACCTAGACATATGATATAAAATATACCAGGTTCCTAAGGATGGCTTCAGTTAAGAGTGATGACTCATGAAAGTCCCAAGGATGGCTTCAGTTATGTGGGAGATCAACAACGTGAGGTTGATTTAGGTCTTTGGCGACAACTAGAGGAATGCGAGGTTACCAATCTATGCGTGAAAAATGGGTAGAGCTTGTTGTATCAGCAAGTTCATTATCTTGACGTGATGGGGGATGCATCCTTGAATGAAGGAGAGGGGGAACTGAGTGAAATTACTCATGTTAAACATCTCCAATCAGTAGCGGATTCTGAGGGAGATGAATCACCTCATGTTGTGCTAACACCGGTTGCAGAGCCTCTCACAGAAGTTGAAGGATCTCATTTTAAGTTACTTCCATCTTTCATATACGATCTTCTAGGGAAGGTCTTGAAGTTCCTTCTCCAGCAGGGTTTCCCCCACCAAGATAAAAAGAGACAGATGCTTGACATTCCAAATTTATAGACTGATTCCTATATAAAAAGAGACGGCGCCAAACTATTGCGGGCTAGAATACTCATGAAGGTAATGTAGAAAAATTATGCCTCTTAGCGTTGCATAAGTATGCAGCTCACACACATAAAGAGTAGAAACACAATAATTTTTTACGTGGAAACCTTGAAGGGAAAAACCACGGTGCCGCGCCCAGTCAAAATTGATCAACTAGTATTTGAATAAATTACAAAAATTGAATCTTCCTTGAACTTACGGGCAATCATATTACAATAGTCGAACCTACATACTGAAATCTAGCGACGAAAAGGAATCAGATGAAAATCCGGGGACGGTCGGTTATTAAAATGTAAAACCGATGTCGGTTAGCGGTCGAGTTGAAGTATGACTACTGTCGGAGATCAAGTGGAAGTCTGACGACGATAAGTGAGTAGTTGGTGGTCCGGCAACAGTTTGCGGAGGTTCGCCAGTGACGATCGGTGGCTAAGTGGTGATCGATGAGGAGTTTAGTAGCAAGAGAGTTCTTCATTCTATTCCTTACTTGGGTCTCTCTCAATGAAGAATAAGAGGCCTATTTATAATTTTTTAGGAGTGGCATGACTAGTGAATAAGAAAAAGATCAAGGATATGTTGGGAGTGATTTGAATGGACGACCGATGTTGATCCCCTTGATCGTGGACCGTTTACTAAACATTCGAATGTCTTAATTACATCAAAATTTGACGATCTTGGGCTCATTGGATTTGTCTCATCAAGCCGCTCAATTGACTATAAGCATGTCACATTTGGAAATCGTTTGGTCATCCAATCTATGGTTTGAACTTTTCAAATTCACTTTAGGTCTTCAGTTCAACTGTAAGTTTGCTGAAATCGGAGTTCATATAGTTCAAGATTTAATTTCACAAGTTTTCAACTTGATTTTAAGTTTGCCTCAAGATTCATGCCCAATAAAGATAATTTGTGGTGATGCATCAATAATAATAATATATACTAATATTTTTTATATTATAGAAAAATATAATAAAAAGAAAAAAATTCAAACATATGATGGCTATCTATTACACCCAACAGCTACCACGCATATGGGTCCATTCACAGGTAAAAATTTTTCAAGAAATTCTGAAGAAAGACAATTATCCATTAAATGGGAGACTAGTTGAACCTCATTGGCAATCCAATTATCCAATAAATATATGTCCGAGCCTACGTTCAATTTACAAGAATATTTTGTTAAAAAATGTTGCCATTTATTTCAATGTTTATTTTTTATTTTATTTATTTTTCGGAGTAGTTTTTTTTCCCCTTCTGGAAAGTTGTAGGCTATGTCAACCAATTTCATTCATATAATCACAATTATAGGATGAATATTTATCTGTGAGTAATTACAAAACCCAAACACTAAAGCAAAATTTCCATAGATAAGAAAACTATAACAATAATTTCAATGAAAAAAGGACTAAAAATGCTCATGAAAAGTAAATCAAGCAGATAAACTACATAGGCTTACATGTCTAACAACAGCTCAGTAAAGCATTTAACTTGGAATAAACTCCGGTGCTGAACGCTGAAGGAATCCACAGTCAAGTAATACAGATGGCTAAAATATTATCCTATGCAAGTTTCTGCAAATGAAAAAAAAAAATCTGTAAACTAAATTATTTAACTGATATTTTATCCAATTAAACTACTAATTATATTTGACATTAATAACAAGCAATGAATGGTGCTCATCAAGCTCCATATGTACCTTCTCAATTTCATCTTGATCCTTTCTTGTGAAGCCACTAGCTGCGAGTTCCTTGTCCAAGAAACCAGCAGACTTCTCTATGGACCAAAATGACGGCCTACCATTCTCTTCAAGATTAGAATCAGAATCATCACAACCATCTTTATCATAATGAAAAGAAAGGTGAAACCTTGAAAAATGCCACAACAAAATAAGCATGGTCAAGAAGAAACCACATGAATTATAAACTAAATAAGATCAGCTCAACATCAAAAGTTAATAAAACTATATTAAATCCAGTGCTACAAACCTTTTACTGAAAAACTTGAAAATGCAGTCGGTATCTCGATCAAAGTACCTGAAAGATAGATTCCTTCAAAAAGCTTCCAATACTGGCATATGGCTTTAAGATTAATAACAGATACAATATTCATAAAGAAATTTTAACAGAGGAAAAAAGGAAAATACAAGTTACATTTGTGCATTACGGTGAGAAACCGACACCATCTGAGGGAAATCAATAATGGTGACCTTCTCTTCATCATCAATCTGCAAGAGCATAATTGAAGGTGAAATGTATGTATACCTATATCTAATGCTAAAAAAAATTAAACTCTAAGAAACAATTAAATAATATGGAAGCAATGAAGAAAAAAAGCATGTAAGAAGTCAATTCATTGCATAAAATATAAAAAATAAGGTGCAATAAAGTTGAGAGGTTGGTTACTAATTGCAAGCTCTCTAACTAAAACAACCTATTTTGATTATTAGTTTATTCATGGTTTAATGCTGTGTTTTTTTTTTCTCTATTGTGCACATTTTGCAATAATGAGTGGCTTAAACATGAACTAGCTTTACATTATGAATTCAAATTGCTTCCCCTACTCTTGAAATTCGCAAAACCCCCTTCTTCCCCTTGGAGATCTATTAGTCACCTCCCACCTCCCACTAGGAGAAACCTTTCTCGTTCTTCTCAAAAGACTTTCCTAACTAAATCTCTTATATACCTCTCATCCTTTAAGGTGTACATTTGCAATAAAGGTTCTTCTCATTGGTTTGGCATCACTGATAGAATGTAATTTCAATATTGCACACACCTTCCCAAATTAGACACCAACCTAAAACCGAGCAGTGTTGAACAACAGGAAACGAGAAAACTAATAAAAATTTAAGATATTCAAGCAGTACTTCAGTAGTATGAATATAGGTAAAGAAGAAAAGCATGATGAACAAAATGCAGTAAGCCTTTAAAGCATAATTTAATAATTAAATATCAACATAGGTACCATGATATTAAATTCATTAAAATCACAATGAATAAGCCCATGCTCTGCCAAACGAACAATAAGCCCAATAATTCTCTCAAAAACCTCGTCAGGATTTTGTAGTTGCTTCACTTGCACTCTGCAGTCAGAATTTAGAAATAAAAGAAATAGTTATAAAATGCCACAATGTTGGAAAATCATAGATTTCAGTAAATAAATATTAAGCATTTTAAATTCTAAACATAACGTCATAACCTACAATGGGTAACCTTGGACAAGAGACATTACAACGCAATGCCGGTTGCAGTCCACAGCACGAGGAACAGGAAATTCATGCTCTCCCAAAGCCTATGACAGAAAATTTATATAAAAAAAAATCAGCTTGAACAGGAGAAGTAATCCTAGTGCCTAAAGTATTAATAAAAAAAAATCACCTTCATAAAGGCGAATTCTTTGAGAGCAGCAAGCCTTGACAAGTATAGCCAGTTATAGCTCCTTCTGTGCAGCAAATAGTCTCGCTTAGATTTCACAGCCCTGAAAGAAACCCTTCCCAACCTATGCAGCTTCATAGCCAAAATCGTTCCATCTTCAGTGGCAACCTCGAATATATCTTTCATAATAGAACAAAGCATAAAATACAGTTGCAACATCGTCAAACGATAAGAAACCCAATTTTGAAAGAAAACAGCGAAAAAATGAATAAATCACAAACGAAATAAATACCAGATTCCTTGCCAACACCTATCTGCCTGCCAACAGAAGAAAATACTCCACGATTGACAAGTGCTTTGATTGCAAGGAAGTCATATCCAAGGTAGGTCAGCCGATATCCATCGTCTGCGCAAAAAATCGAGGCAAAAATTACATTCTTTCACACTATGAAATGAAATTCAGAATCCAAATAACAGTTTTGCAAGGGACTCCGAATTACTCACATTTGGAGGAGTCATGATGTACAAGCCTATGTTTTAGAAGATTCCTCAATACCTTGTAGGTTCCCCCATGCCTGTAGTTACAAGTTTTGGTTAAATTATCTCAATCAAGTTCTCCAAAGCATCAAATCAATTAAATTACAAGGAAAGAGTTTACTTGAGGCCGGCAATCCGCTCAACAAGCTCCGCGGGAACAATTTCATGCTAAAACATATTAAAAAGAATGAGAAAAAAAAAAAAAAGAATATATAAACAGAGACAGAGAGAACACTGAAGGGTACACGAAAAATTAGACAGTGAAATCGAAGTTACGTTTCTCATCCCCATCTCGACGGCGGTTAAGACTCTGAAATCTTCTTTTGATAGATACCTCAAAGCGTCCACATCGAGCTTCATTGTGAGCTGAGGAGGAAGTAATCTTCGCAGAGCCGATGAAAAGAAGTTCACTACGGTGGTTCGTACTAAATGGCTGATCGAGTCCTGGGCAGTGGTCACAAAGGGGCTGTTTGGCAGGATTTAGCCTAAAACCTGCCAAACGGTATTTACGCTCGACGTAAATCTCGCGGCGGAATAAATCTTCCGTTTCTCTGGCCGAAGAAGCGCGCGAAAGGGAGCTCCCGTCCCTACTTCCGATCAAAATGTCGTAACTTCCGATCCGACAGGAATAGGGAACGTCGTCGAAGGAGCGAAGTCGAACAACAACGAAGGAGCCGAAGAAGCCACTCGTGCAATCCCTAGATGAAAAGCAAACCCTAAACGGCACTAACGTTAACTTAATTAATATAATTTATAATATTAAAAATTAAGTAAATTTATTAAATAATTAATAATATAATTAGTGCATAAATTAATTATCTAATTTAACTTAGTTAAATAAATAGTAATTAAAATTAGTATAATTAGCTTAATTAATACAATTTAAAATAGAAATTATTAAATATATAAGTAATAGTGTAAATAATACTTAAATAATATTATTATTCCTATTGATTTTTCACAATATTGTTCTTGCTATAACTTGTCATGCATGAGTAGTTGAATAATTAAATGTCTAATGAGATAACCAAAGTACAATTAATCATTTTGAAATTTATATAACAATTAAATAATCAATAAAATTTAGGTGTATTAGTTAAAAGATTGAAATGATTTTACTTATCATTACAATTTATTGATATTAATCAAGATGAAATTAATAATATAATTTTACTTAAAAGAAAATGAAAACTAAAAATATAATATATTTAATTTTATAATGAACTAACAGCCTTAAATTCTAGATTATATTGCCAAACAACTTTGTAAAATTTAATATGATTTATCACTTAAGTTTTTTTTTTAACAACCACCAAATATACTGAACAAGAAAAGATACAAAAAAAGACCCCTCAAAGGGCCACATCAGATGCTTACAGTCAAAACAGTAAAACCAAAGAAAAGATTAGAATGATTAAGGGAGATAGCAACAGACTCAGACCAGCTTCGGGTTGTCGGGGCAGGGCCATCCACTGGTAAAAAACAAAATCAAAGGGCCAACCAAGTAGCCAACCAACCTTGGCCGTCCACGACGCTTGCAGCCTCGCTGCTTCTTCATCGTCCAAATCAAAACAATTAAAACGGCCAACCCACCAAGCACAAATGCAAACCATTGCAGCAACTGAAACCACACTTAATGGCAAATAAAACAAAACCATTGCAGCAACCAACAATCAACGACCACGCCTGCCCCTCCCACGAGATCTACCACGAGAAGCAGCAGGCACTAGTGGTTTATCGCGCAACAAATTGAAAGAATTACCAGGATCTCCATCTCCAATAGATTCCACAAAATCAGAAACAGATTCAGATTCAAAACTGTAATCATGAAGTCAGTCCAGGTGGACTCTAAGATCAATGCCCAAGTTATCCTTTACATTATACATTAAACCTTTATGATCCATAAAAGTCACTGGGACATCCACAAAATCATTAAGCACTAAACGTTCATTATGAATGGGGCTAGAGTTATCAGAAACAGCCACCTTACACACTTTCTCATCCAAATTATCCACGACAGCAGACTTAACCGGGACAACCAACTCCTCAGAATTTAAAGACTGGCCAACCAAAACAGAGAGGGCAGATCTAACAGACACCAAAGGATCCTCCCGAGGAGGGCCCTCAACGCTATGACAAACACAGTTGGAAATCTAATTCATACCAACATGAGTAAAAGGTTGAGCGTCGGGGGATAGAATAGCAGTAAACTCAACACCATTAGCATTTCCAACCACCTGAGTTTCCACAGTCATTTCCACCGCATCTAAACCGGCAAAACCCAGACATTTCCACCGCATCACTTAAGTTGTCAAACAATTATTGTGAACAATAATATGAGAGAAATTGCTTGTCTGTAGTAGTAGTTGTTGAAATGGAATTGAGACATGTAGGCAAATTTTTGTAGCCCAGGACTCTGTATAGGGGCATATATTTATGGTTTAAAAGTTGAAATTATTTATTGATTTTATAGCTAACTAGCTAATAAAATCTAATAAGATAAGCCACGCTCTTCTTATAGGATAAATCAATATCGTTCTCTCTCTTCATATTTGATATGATAGATTTGACTTTAAATTAATTCTATATTTAACACTCTTCTTAATTGTGCTTAAGTTATTGTTGTGCACCTCGGTGATCTTTCATTATTAAATTCGAAAGTGCAAATGAGTTACTATTCAGAACTTTTAATCACCAAATTTTATTCTTTTTCACCTAAAATTGTACAATTATTAAATCTAACGACTTCAAACATGAACAAAAGCCATTATATCAATACCTAAGGCATTGGATCTAATTTCAGCCATTATATATATATACCGATACATAATAATCTACACTGAAAAAGAAGTGTTTATCCGGAGATTTCACTTCAAATTACCCCAGATTTTCTCATATGAATAATATCACATGAAAAAACAAATAAGTTTTAAGCAAACTTATTTACATCTTCAACAAATCTTTCGAGATTGTCCATCATAAAAGATCCTTCTTTTCCTTTTCAAAAAAGAAAAGAAATTAGAAACCTCAAAAAAAACCTTTGACTTTCATTTCATTCAAATGAAAAAGAAATCCCCATGAATGGATAAAAGTTTTTAGCCACTTTACACTTATAATTATAAGAAAATTTTAAAGCATTATAAATAAATAATTAAGTTTATATATTAAATATATAAATTTTATAATTTTAAGTGTAATATGTGTTTTTTTTTTAAAGCCTCCAGCCTAGTGCGCAAATTTTGGTGAAGGTATGAATAGGAGCAGCGTCATAAAAAGGTGAAAAGGAATTCGTGAGAGAATTTTGGATTTTAAATAGCCTACCTATCTTAATTCCATTTCATCAACTCCTACTACAGATAAGTAATTTCTCTCATATTATTGTTCTCAATACCCCTTATTATCTGTCCATAAAAAAATCAATAAATATAGGAATAGACTTCATGGAATAAGCTATAAATCATTAACTTTTGTCAATTTATTATCCAACAAACTCAAATTGTATTACATTTAGTTGTTTTTTTAAGGAAATAATATAAAAATAAATGAACAGGAAATGTTAGTTAAATAAGAAGATTTTTTTATTTACATTATTTTCAAAGAGTGCATTTGAAAGGTCTCTAGTATCTTATTACATTTTCTACAGACTACAGTATAATCTTCGGAGAGAGAGAGAGAGATAGAGAGAGAGTTCATAGTGGCTTTTTCTTTTAAGGTTTTTTTTTTAAACAATTTTCTTTTAAGATTAAATTCTCTGTTAAGTTGAAAATGAAAGGTATAGTCATGATGGATCACAATCGACCAACGTCTCTCGATTACGATCCTTCTGTCATAATATCCCAACTATGATCTATTGAGCACCATAATCATACTATGGCCCATTAACCATCATTACCCAATTATGATTTTTTTATCTCCATTGTGAAACCGCTTAAGTAAAATAAATTAAATTCTTAAATATCGAGGCGCTTTTTTGTGTAATTGTTAGAATTTCATTCAGAAACTTCGCAGTTCAACATGCTTATCCCAAAGAAATCATTGGATTGGTGACCTCCTACGAAGTTACACTAACATAAAAAAATCACGAGGGCCTTAGGTTAAAGTGGATAATACCTTGATAATTAAGAGTATGATCTGTTACAAATGATATCAGAGCAATACATAAGCTAGAAGATGGTAACTAAGTGTCATACAAGATAAAACTCTATGCCATGGGAGTCACGTCTTAAACCTTGTATAGGACAAAGTGTTTCGTGATGGGAGTCATCACTTGAACTTATAGGGGCCACTTCTAGAATCCTCTGCGCCTCGTATATGATTCTACGATAAGGTACTGACAATGATGTCAATTATTTAAGTGGGGGAGATTATGAAACTCCTTAAATTAAAGAAGCTAAACTCTTAAACATCGAGACATCTTTTAAGTATTGGTTATAATTTCATTAAGAAACTTTGTAGTTAAACATGCTCATCTCAGAGAAATACTAAAATTGGTGGCCTCCTAAGAAGTTATACTAAAAGGACAAAATCGTAAGACCCTTAGGTCAAAGCGGACAATATATTGATTGCTAAGATTTTGGACAATTACAAATAGTATAAGAGAAATACACTAGTCGGAAGATGGGAACCAAGTGACATACAAAATAAAGTGTTATACCATGAGAGTCACCTCTTGAACCTTGTATTAAACAAAGTGCTACGTGGCAGTGACAGCTTATAGAATCCTATATGCTTTGTGGATGATTCTGGAATAAGGATACAGACGATGACGTCAGTTATTTAAGTGGAGAAGATTATAAAACTTCTTAACTAAAAGAAGCTAAACTCTTAAATATTGAGGCAAATTTTTATATAATTGTTAAAATTTCATTGAGAAACTTCATAGTTAAGCGTGTCAATCTCAAAATAATTTTAAGATTGATGACCGCTTGGGAAGTTACACCAACAAGACAGAATCGTGGGACTTTTAGGCCAAAGCAGATAATATCTCAATAGTTAAGAGTTTGAGCTATTATAACTATCACCTGATTATGACCCTTTTACGACTTTACATGAATACTATCCTCAGAGTACTATCACCGGACTACATTATAAATGTTTTTTTCCCAACTGTAGTTCTTTGGGTATAGTCACTCTAAAATTATCCAAATAATATTATCACCTGACTACATCAATGCAGTTGACTTCATCACTCTTTGTTAACGCATGTCATCGCCTAAAAAACTAATAAATTCCATTAATACTAGTGTTGAGTTTATACATTGAATTGAAGATTTATGCTAGGCTTTTTGATCTCATGTCTCCCCTTCTCAAAAGAGAATGACCAAATAAAAAATAAACTCTCTTAAAAATAGCTTCTATACCATATGACAATATGACTTATTCAATTTCTAACATAATCTCTTATATACCGTTTATGTTTATATATTATATCAAAGGCTTTCTCGATCACAAATAAGAGCAATATTTATAATAGTTGGTGGAAGTTTTGAAAAAGTGATTTTGGAAAAATTTTAATCTTTTTTGAAAAATTTAAAATTAACGTTATATTTTAATTCTAAAATCAAATAACCCATCAGAAAAGATATACTATCTCAAGAGGTAGAAATAAGATTTTTATTTATTTGATTTGATGGCTTATTAAAATTTTAATGATTTATGAAATTTTATTTATTTATTTAT